AGGCCACATGACTTTCTAATTTGAAAAAAAAAAGAAAAAAGAATTATTCAGACTTCAAAGTCTAGGTAAACAAATTAAAAATTTACTAGAAAGATTTTATAAGAAAATGCTAAATGGGAATGACCTTTCAAAAATAACATTTCTAGTAGGGTTTTCTTATCCAAATGTACTTCAGGGGAGTTCATGGATTGTGAGAGAAGGCAACAGAAATTGGTGGTAAAGGCTGTGGCTGGCACTAACTGAATGAGAAAAAAAGATAGCTTCTAGAGAGATGTCCATACAGCAGGAAAATCTGCGCTTGCCTTCTTTTAATTAAAGAGCTAGGTGCAAAGATCAAACAGCTAGGAACAGGGAATGTGGTCTGTAAGTGAAATAAAAAATAAATTAATGTTGGCAAGAAAAAGCCCCACTCCTTTTTAATGAGAGCAGACTGAAGAGAGTTCAGACTAGATCCCTAGAATGGTTTGAAATTTGGAAAGCCTTTAATGAGAGACTGAAGAAGCTCAAGTGCATTTTCTCTCATCTTCACGCTTGCATTTCTGCTCAGCCCCAGTCACAGAAAATGCTCCCCCTCTACTAACAGTGGTTAGTGGTTAAGAAAATTCAGATATCTGAAACTTGTCAAGTTTGAACTAGGAGTCAGGCAAATATTTTTAAAAGCAGGGATAATTAAACCATTGGAACAACTTTTAAGTACATAATAGAGAATCAATGTTGTAAGTCCTCAAATGAACATTGCATTTCTACATAGGAAGGTAGTTTCTGACTTAGGCAGACCATAAAATCTAAACATAGGAATCTTGCTGTCAAGTTATATCAGAATTCAGAATAGCTGATCATAATGGTTTAGTCAGTTTGTTAAAATGAATTTTTCTCAGCAATGAAAAAGCAAGGGGGTTTCCTCTCATAACTTGCAGCCCCAACTACTCCCTGTTGGAAGGTTTGTTTCTGAAATAGCAAGATCATCACTGCAGATTACACTGGGACAACAACAATTTTCAAAACAAAAAATGAACCTCCATTTACTGTTATATTGTAATAAAATCTGTTTTTATGCCACTGTATAAGAGATAATTCAGTCAGTGTAACTCATAACAAGAGGAACCTATTTGTATTTGAAAACCTTTGTCCAAGGTTTACTCTAACAGGTAGACAGCAAACACACCCAACGATTAGTTCCTAACTCTGGACAGACACGAAGCCATCTTCCCAGTCTTTCACCAGTTCATTTCATTATAACCTTTTTAAAGAGATGTCATAACATCCCTTTGCTTTCAAGCTTAAAATTTTGGCAGGATGTGTGTGTGGGGAGGTGGTAATTCTGAGATACTGGAAGCTTTCTAGCAGAGTAAGAACAGCATTTTCCAGACATCCTGCTAAAATCAATTCATGGATGCATGTAACTTCTTATCATCTCCATTGCAGGCTATGGCTCTCAAAGACACTTCCTGGGCCACTGCTCATATAGATGTGTTTGTTCTGTTCAGAAAGATAGGAGAGGAAAAATTCAGATACTTCACCATTAAAAAGAGCTGGAATAGTTAATGTCTGAAATAGTTTGTAGAGAGCATTTCAAATAAGAGATTGAAATGCTGGATAAGTGGAAGCACTTTGAAGATTGTGATCAAGTTCCATCTTTGAAGACAGCCAAAAGAAAGTAGACAAGCTTAATTGAAGAGGTTACTCAAGGTGACTTGCCATCACTGTTCCTGAATGTGAAAGCAGCAGGTTAATAGAAAGTTCTTTTTCTTTGGACATAGAAACACAGCAACACCATCATACTGAATTTTAACTTGTCAGTGACCATGGAGGCTTCCCCACCCACTCAGCCCTTGTCAGCAGGGTCTAGGGGTATCATACATACATCAAGTGCAGAGACGCTGCAGGTTCGCCACTTCAAAAAGACCACCTGCAAGTCTTGGCCTGATTAGAGTATAATAAAAGGATCTGATTAAAGCAAAGACATTTCCTTTCAAATATATGTGCATGCATGTAAATATATCCCACTCCACAGACATTTAGCCCCAGCCCTGATATCTGATAAAGGAGGCTGAGTGAGGGAATTCTTGGAGGGAGGTGTGAATTTAATTTCCAAAGCAGCAGTCCGCTAGCACAGCCAAGTGCCACTTGCAGTACAGTGCCACTGGGTAGTATGCAAAAGTCTTCCCAGGGAATCTTCCCACTGTCGATACTTAAAAAAGGCTAAACCACAGAGCATTACCAAGGTCTTTGGCATTTTCTATTAACATCAGTTAGCTAGCAGTATGAGAGATTTGAGTAATACTCTGAGGCAAAAATAGCCAAGGGCAACTTCAGAGAGTCCCAGAGAGGAAAGCAAACATAGCTGGTTCAAAAGAAAACTTCAGGTGATCCACTATGAAGTTTCCATATTGCAAGGGTGAGGGAAAAATGTCGTGGCATGCCTGCACACTGAAAATCTGCTCAGAAACCTTTAACTTTGCCTAAGATGTACTTGTAAATGTCGCAGATATTTTTTCTTGTCTGCATGGTTTATCTAACAGGTACTGTGGACCCTTCTTTTCCATTAGAAATATCTTGGTCATACATCTGACTTTTGAAAAGCATTAAAATGTTGTCATCTGCAGAAACAAGTAGATATAAATTAAATTCCATCAGACTAGGGTGACAAAGGAAAGCAAGAAAACTAAGCTAACCTTGTGGTTGCTTTCCCCACTCACCTAACAGAAGTTACCAAGGTAAAACACGCAAAATGCAAAACTGGCATATCATATCACAAAAGATGTGTGAGAGATGAAATAAATTGCAGTGTTATTTTAAGTTTTACTTTTTTCATGTGTTGTATTTTTCTAAGAACATATTTAAAAGAGCCTGTCTACAATACACACATCTGTTTCTTCTTGAGTGTCTGCTGTTGAATACAATAGTGAAACAATTCCACAAAATCTCCACTAAAACAAAACAAAATGAAACCAGCAACACATCTCTTTCCCATACCAAAAGAAGACCCTGTTCCTGCTTCTGTAGTTCAAGCTTCTGAGACATTTTTGTCTGGGTATACAGAAGCAAGTAAACACAGATATTACTGCAGCTTCTGCAGCCACTAATATCTTCTTTTTCTGGGATTCCAAAGACAGGGATAATTACATCCTGCAAGAGGCAAAACAATTTATGAAAAAACTTGACACATTCTCTTATTAAAAATTAAATAGGACATTCATAATCAGCTGCTTCAAATATGCATGAATAATGGCAGCTAGAAACCAGTCTCTGCAGATTGCTCATGAAGTGGGTGTGAAGCTGAAGTAATGGTAGAAAAAAACCCCACAATGATAAAAGAGTGCTTTCTTGGAGATTTTACAAGGTCACTCGGCCAAGGCCAGATAAAAGCAAATATTTCTCCAATAACCTGTAACAAGAGGGAGAAAACAGAATTAAAAATGATCTTTTGCAGCAAAAACAAAAATCTGTCAACTTCTCTAGCCTTAAGTCCACCGGAAAATAGTCTCCCTTTTCCTCTGACAGGCTTTAGCTTTTAATTATGTAACGCCTTCATGAAGGGATTTCTGTCTTTTTGTAAATTTAATTCACAAAGTGTCTTAATTATCTGCAGACATATTAATAACTCTTTGAACAATATATTAATGTAGCAAGCTGAAACATGTTTTCCAAACAACAGTAAAACAAGACTTAAAAAATGCACCCACCCATAATTGTTGCATAGTTCATATGTAAATATATTATTGGTATTGTAGATATTGTGAAAAAAAACAAAGAATCCAATGTGTTGAACTCCTTCAGCTGCCCACAGTTTACAAAACCTAATAGTACTGTAGGTTGCAAAAGATGCTCATTTCTTCCCCTGTGGGGAACTACCTTTATCTACTCATTGTAATTTCTTTAGTGAATTTGAGTTAATTTTTAATAACAATTTTACTCCTCATAAAACTGAAAAGACAACTCATGGGAAGTCTTCAGAATACAACCCTGCTGCAAAAATACTCCAATAACTGTTGGAGCAGAAAATGAGGAATACAGTTGCAGAAGAATATCTGCATTTGTGAGAGAAGGGTTGAAAGCAAGAGGCTTTTTAAAGTTTGATTTTTTTTAAAAAAATCCTCTTTCTAAGATCCTAGCTCTCAAAGAAATTGTTATGTCAAAGCCATCTCCTAAGGCAAGAATAATGTGTGTCAGTACCTGAAGTTGCTTCAAAAGTCTCCAAGCCTAGAAGTAAAAGCTCTACACAAATCTTTATATCGGAACCAGGAATTAGGGTAGGGAACCCCTTTCAGAAAAGAATATAGGTGCAGCGAGCCTTATGAAAGGGTAATTTGAAAACAGAGGGCCTGATTTCTCCCATTCAGTAGTGGTGTTTTACCAACAGCCTCCACTGACATGAATAGTATCCCTTTTTGCTCATGGGAAATAGTAGGAAGAACACAGCCCATGACAAAGTCATCCTCTTTCACTTAAGACCACTGAAAGTTTGCAGAGTCATCTCTGGCATTTCCAGCCACATTCCTCAGCTGCCCAGGTTTATCCATTCACAGAGAACATAGCTGTATTGAGGTTTTATCACCAAATATCAAGGCACTCCCAGCAGATGCCTTCCATGCCATCAGCACTTCCTCTGACTTGAAATACATGTTGTGCAGTTCTTTACAGAATCATAGAATGGTTTGGGTTGGAAGTGACCTTAAAGATCATCTGGTTCCAACCCCCCTGCCATGGGTAGGGACACCCTCCACTGGACCCAGTTACTCAAAACCTCATCCAACCTGGCCTCGAACACTTCCAGGGATGGGGCATTTATAAAAGAATGTGTTTCAGAATACCTACGTGCCATTTCATGGCCCCGAACACAGAGTTAGAAAGTATTTACTTTAATGTCCCCTCTCATATTATTTGAGAATTAAACCACATAAACTGTCATCATGAAATGTCAAACACGAAGCTAACTTAATGCCAGCATTGGTAATAAAATGAACAAACAAATTCATTATTCTTACCTTTCTCCTCCTTTACTCCAAGTAGTTTGACTCCTCGACAAAAGAAAAAAATACTTAGTACAGTACAATGTACAATGTACAGTACAATCACATACTTATGCAAGGAATTACGGTTATCCAGTTGTGTGGAACTTTCTTGCTTACTTGGTGCCATTTCCTGTCTTTTGAAACTCCACTCAAAATACAAGTAAACCCTTCCACAATAATCCAGTTCTAGCAATAAATATTTCTTCAATTTGAACTCAATATGAATAGCAGGGCGTATCGACTCAGGAGATAAATATATCTTGGTTTTGGAAAAAATCAACCTCGATGTATTCCAAATATCTTCAGATGCCTCAATCCTTTCTTGATCTCACACAATTGGGAAGAGTGAAAAGTTTCTTTGCTCCTCCCCATACTCTCACTATTCTCTTTTAGAATGAGATTTTCAAAGGAAAGAATGATTGAGCTCAGAGTCAAGCCAGGCAGAACACACCTGCATATGCTGTTTGACTGCCTTGTCAGAGGTAAGTCATTAAACTCAGCTACAGCATTTCTGGACCTACTCATCTGAGGTCCCTATATAGATGCTGATACTTCTGCTGAGTAGTTTATTTATTTTCTGCCATCCTTCTGCCAGGAAAGACAAGCATATTACTCTCAATTAAAAAACCCAAAACAACTAGTTTTAGGAAAAAAATCAATCATCTTTCCAACACAGATTGTACACAGACTAACCACATAAAAGCTAAGTTAGCAAACTGCATTCTTCGTTGAAACAAACATAACAATTGTGGATTGCACTCTGGAACCTTCTTATATAAATATTCTATTCTCAACATTCCCATGTTAAATAAAAGCTTTTTCTTTGTGCTGGGAAACCAGCATTTTCAGTGCAACTTTATCCGTCTAAAAATTCATGAAAGTCTGCATTAAATACTGATTGTATATGGAAAATTGTGGCACACATCCTGGCCTTGTAACTTCAGGGACCTTTGAGCTATGGTTCTTCTTTGCTGTGCAGCAGTAAACTTCATGACATGATCCCTCTTAAATTGGTGGCAAATAGCATAAATCAAGTGCTGGTTGAGACTCCAAAGAAACATTCCCATGGATCATGCTAGAAGAACTAAAGCAAGTGCTAATCCACAAACCATGTTTATTTAAAATAGTTTTATCCACAAATCATGTTTCCTCAAAACAGATTTATCCAGCATCCATCAAGTTCCTGTTCAGCATATGGGAAAGGAAGAGAGTGTTTCCTGTCACACTGCACCTGTGTATTGAGGGCATAGTTGCTTCCCACAACAAATATCTAGAATTATGCATCAACTGAAACAGCAAAGTCAGCATCCAAAAGAGCATTTCTCATTCTTATGCATGACTTTGGGCGTAATGGAGACATGAAACAGGAAGGTATAATATGTCATGTTGACTTCTACATTCTGGGTTTACTATAGCTCAGAGAGTTTCAGCAAGACACCTAGTATTTCATTAAAGAAGAGTAGACATGTAAGTTTCATTTATTCCCTATGTGACCTCTCCCCATTAATAGAATAGATAAAAGGGTCCTTGACAATGTTCCATTTCCACTGAAAAATAAACAAAGGCCAGAGCCAATGCCACACATTAGCACTTAGCCTCTACAAATCCCTCCGTACTTGAACATGGGCAGATCACGAGTGAGTGAATACAAAAATGTGCAACTTGTTTTAATGTTATTCTTTTGAAAAAATAGAAGTGTTTTAATTGCTAAATAAATCTGATCATTTTTTCAATTACAGTGAACAGATACTAAGTCATAGGTCCCAGCTGAGTAAGGATCAAATCTTATTGATTAAACTTTGAGGTCAAAAATTACAATTGTTGGTTTTTTACCCTCCTATCCTAAAAGGTTTATCCTTATGTTACAGACAATGGCAGTGCAAAGGACATCAAAACTTTCTTGACAGCACACAACAAGAGTTGCTGCTCTCTCAAGGGTGCAATAGCTCACAGAGAGAAGTGGAAATTAATTAAATTGTTCTTCCCATTAAAAAAGAAACCACATAACCACCCAGAGAGTGCCCTGGCATTTATAACCAAAAAGGGCGAAAAGATTACTTTCATGAAGATAATTCTTAAAATAACAGCTTACAAATATTCCTAATAAAACAGAAGATGTCTGCAGGGCAGATGAATTAATGAAAACTGGTTTCCTATCGACTAAGGCACAATTGGGCAATGCAACAGCTCTCCTCCCCCCTTCCCAGACACACACAATAAATTTGCCTTCCCCATCTCCTCTCCATGTCCGTGTGATATCCATGTCCCCTTTTGCATCCCCTAGCCCCCAGGAAAACAGGGCAGAGGTGCAGCTTTTCTGGAGCTGTGCCCATGCTGATCGGCCAGAGTGTTGCAGCCTGGCAACACACAGAGTGCCCAGGTCCTTCCTACCACCCCTCAGAGCGGGGCAGTGTTTTGAGGTCTCTCTTCTGCCCAGCCATTGCTTTTCATGAAACGCATAGACCCTTAATTATCTTTGAGACTTATACTCCCTTTCAAATTTGACTAAGATTAGCCAGTAGGCTGAAAACCTTACTACATGTAGACAGACAGCGTGACTGAACAAAATTAATTTCCTTAGGAAACCAGACTAATAGAAATAATAATGAGAAATACAGCAGGTAGATTGATAACATGGCATGATGTTCAGTTTCTGTTAGTGTGGAATGTTTGTGACTATAAAGAGTTCAATCAGGACAAAAAGAAGCAGCAAAGAGAATAAATATTTCCTCTTCAGTGCTACTGCACAGACAGAGCAGGCTCGGAAATTACCTGCAGGTCTTAACTTCAGGAACCTTTTAAATTTCTTTTAATCTTAGTACATAGTCTGACCTGCTTTGGTTAGCTCCCTTGTAAAACACCACGCTGCGGACTACACAATTTGTAAACCCTACCTGGAGTTCATCTTTTTTTTGCTGAAAATCCCAAGGGAAGGGAGAAGAATCTTAGTATAATCAAAGACACTGAGGTTGCAGCCTCCAGCCTATCTTTTGAGAGATATTTTTCTTGCTTGCTCCTGTTACCAGTACTCATTTTAAATTCCTTTTCATTATGACATATTCTTTAATAGTTTATTTTTTCCCTCCTTTGTTTAGTCTTCTAATCTCACATTACAGCATGAAAGAAAAACAGATAATCTAGCACTACCCAACAGAAGGCAAGCTCCTTGGGAGCCATTAAGTAAACATCAGAGTAGGAAATTTATCTGTTCTACACACAAGCTTTTATTGCTTTTGTGTTGATGCATTCTTCGAGCATATATGTTTTTTAAAAAGCTTAGATTGGTTGTGTATGTCACAGATATGTCTGTTGTTAAAACTGCCTGGGCTGAGTGCACTTGTTTGGTGGTACCAACACCTGCCCTGTGGAAGAGGACACATGGAATCTGACCAAAGGCAAAACCCTGCTCCCTCTGCAGACAATGGCAAGGTTTTCAGTGGTCACAGCAGGGGCTCTGATGGAGATGCTCAAGTTTAGATATTGGGGATCTTGGCTGTGTCACAGGCTTTCTTTCAAGTTTATCAGGAAACAGTTTATAAATTGGGATAAAGGACACGAACTGAAATAAAAATAATAATTTCTGCCCTTGCTGCCTTGTTAGCCAAGCCCCATCCAGCAGACATTACCTTTTGCTCCTTACTAGGTATCAATTAGCTCTGTCCTACCTGAAGTCTCTAATTCTGCTGTCTGCAGAGAAGTAGATGAGGAGGAGATGGTCCAGGCGTGCCATACAGAGTGCTCTGTTATTCATACTCTTTTACTAGCCTGGACATCTGTAGCTTGCCTTCCAACAGCTACTGGATTTTCTGGCACATGATACAGGCTGTACCAGTAAAGCCCCTAACCAACTGGTTCTCCAAGCAGCTGCCACTAGACCTTAGGAGAGGTTGTGCTGGCAGGTCCTGCCTCCTCTCAGGAAGACCAAGAGAACTGCTATGCACAGAGGTAGCCTCACTCCAAGGTCCCTGAGCCCTCCGCCATGGCCCAGGGCTTACCCAAAGTTTGCAGTGATTGAGACACTCTTTTGTTCCAGTGCCAGTATCTGGAAAACTGCAGCAGCAAGACTGTCTGCTTATCATGCCCTGACTTTGTAGATGCTTGAACCCGAATCTTCCTGGCATTCATCTGCCAAGATACACCTCTGCACTATACAGTCCAACTAACCCAATCCAAGCTTTTCTGGTTATCAACTAAACTTCTTTCTCTACACTGGCACATTCACTAAATTCTCATAGACTCTCATCCTTTTGCTGTTCTTTATAAATCTGCCATTTTTGCACTATGGTCCTCTCACCAATGGAATTTCAACCTGATGGAAATTTCCATAAGGGGAATACTACATAATTCTTTTGTTTTTTAACACTGAAGAGTGCAATTCTAAACAACAGTCATATTAATGCTTCATTAGGACAGCTGAAAATATTTAATGGATGTTTAATAGGCTACAGTCAAGATATCTTTTTTTCAAAGAATCCTTACAAATACTATGTATGTTAAATTGGATATAGTTGGGTCTTCTTTGTCATAATTTTATATGGGTGAAAAATGAACATCTGGACCTTTCATGGGATTTTTTCCCCTCCACTTTCAATATCATATTAAAATATTTACAGCATTTCCAAACATAGTTAATTCAAAGACTTTCAAAAAATCCCTTACAATTTCACTACTCTTGTTCTGAATTTAAGGAAGTACCTCAGATGCGGTTCCATGCAATCAAGTTCTGCTGCAAGAGCAGCTGTTCCTCCCTGCTTCCATTTGAACAGCTTGTATATTTAAGATTTCTTCTTAAAAGCTATTGTAGGCTGCCAGCAAGGACTGTAAGTTCTGCCAGGCACGCTAAATGCACACAGACCTATAACAGTATCTGGGGAAGAAGTCAACTTTTAAACAATTTCATTGCTTTCACATTTGGTACCCAAAATGCTTACCCAGGTGCCATTACTGAGGCAGTCCAGACTCCCAGAATATCCACGTTGGTAGATGCTATTAGCTTGTGCTTTGTTCTGGAGTCTGTCCAGGAAAGCATTATTTACCCTTAAAATACAACAACAACAAAAAATTAATAATGATTGTAGGTAGCTGAGGAATTCAAAAACTTATCAGTTTTAACATTCTGTGAGTGGCCTTCCTTATTCTCAGTTCAATGTCCATCTTCCTATGTTTTTCAAGCCTGTGCTGAACAACCATGGACTGGCATGAGAAAGGGTGGATTTCATTTTCAATTCACTAGGTGCATCCTTATCCTGTGATCAGTCCATTGTGATTTAGAGGCATACCTTGGCTGCTGTGAGAAATGCACCAAAATTCTCCATAGAGGGATGACCTGCATACCACCACCCACCTTATCAGGGAGGTGAGCTATCTCGACAACTCACCTTAGGTAGTCTTTCAGCCTTCAGTACAGAAGGAGAGTTTCTAGAAGTACTGATTTCCTAATGCCAATTAAAAAAAAAAACCCACTTAAGCTTGTTACTAATAGAGACAATTTGTGTAGCAAAAAAAAACAGCTCTGAAGTAAACTCTAGCATTTTCTTGTACTACTCTATCAATCTGGAAAACACACACACATACAAATACACTTTCCCTCAATCTGTTTTAAATATTTTCAGACCTTCCAAAAACTCTTTCTTTTTCCTCTCTATTAATGCTTAGGACTGACACACATGCTTAGACATGACTGTTGTTTTAACGTTTTACAATGTTATTGGTAAGAATGATGTAAAATGCAAGATACTGGATTATTTCTATCTAGGGATGTGAGATGGACTGAATCGAAAATCCTTCATTAACTTCTATGGGTAATTATTTCAGTATCTTTGCTAAGAAAAAATGAAGAAATGAAAACAGTATGGAGAGCGGTTGCCTACAGAAGTAATTTTTTTTAAATATATTTCCCTAGTGGCATTAAAAAAAAAGTGGTTTTATTTTTCAGCCTGAGTGTTGTATCTTTTTACCAGCAGAAAACAAAGTTGAGAATAAAGCTGTGCTTCAAGATAATGGAAAGTCAGTTAAGTGACAGGAGTGCAAGATTAGAACTGCTGAGCACAGAGAGGGCACAGCAGTGGGGTGCAGCCTGGGCCATGCAGCACTGCAGCTGCAGAAGACCTTACTGCAAAGCAGCTGCTATTTGTACCCATATCTAATCCCATGTTTATATCTGCCTGTTAACTTCAGTGACAGTCAACAGCAAAATGTGGCATGGACAAAGTAGCTAATTCTAAAATAAAGTAAAAATAAATAAATAAATAAACAGATAGATAAATAAATAAACTGTTTCCCAGCTGAAACTACTGTACTAGTAGTTACTCATGGAAACTACTTATAGTTTCTGCACTACGCTCTGTCCTATGCTGATAGGATAAAGTGAAAAAGGCACTTGGGGTGATACTGCATTACAGTGAGCAGTTGTAATGACGGGTATTAGCAGCTTATTGGAAGGCAAAGTTAAACCAGAGGCGAGGCCAGGGATTCTCATTGCTATAGTCTTCTAAATCATGAATGCCTGCAGTTTTGAGACCCTTTCCGGACAGAAGATCAATTGAAGTGTATTCTGCATTTTTTGTATCATACCTCCTCTGTTCGTTTTGATGTGCTCTTGTCCTGGCTTCTTCTTCCTGCTTTTGTCTAAATTCCATTAATTCAGCCTGGGAATGTTAAAATTAAAAAAAAAAAAAACCCCACAAAAACACAAAAAAAAAAACCAACCACAAAACCAACACAAAAACAAACCACAACAAACTTACTTTTAACTAACATACCTATGTTGCAAACCCAATTAATTCCACATGGTGTTAGCTTCAACTAGAGCCATATGCCATTTCCTGAACTTGTCTCAACAGCATTTATGTGACAGCACTATGTTAAAAACTGAGCTCATTTTTCTGTTTAGCATTGCACTGAAGGAGTTTTGTCTGTGCCCTAAAAAGTGGGAAGTTACAGGATTCAGACATTTACAGTCCTACATTTAAAGGGATATGTCAGGCACCAGTCTGCTTCCCCTTGCCCCAACCCACGGGTCTGAGTTTCCCTGTTGGTCCAAAGGGAAAGACAGACAAAGCCCTCTAGCAGGATCAGACCTAGTTGTCACACCTGCAGGGTGCGAAGGAGACATGCCCCTCGCCCCCTGCCTCCATGGAGCATGAGAAAATTAGAGTGGGGGCATGTGGCATGGTGTGTCAGCTCCAGCTCCCTGGGGCTCCCCCAAGGGCAACGGAAGAGCAAATGGTACCTGTTGGTGCGGTGAAAGTGTGTGCAAGCTCCCCATGCTGCAGCTGACCACCCTTACCTTGCATGATGCTAAGGTATACAAACAGTGTCAAAGGGAATTATTTTCAGAGGAGAGTTTGCTTATGAAATTTTAGCCAGGACTGCGAAGGAAACACAGCTTATGACTCTGCTCTGCATGTGTGCTTATTTGACTGGCTATTGCTCCCTGCAATGTACTCAAGAACTGAAGATTCAGATTTTTCTGCAAAGAAAATTTGTCTTGCAGGGTGAGGGGGAAGGGACAGGAACAGACCCATCTTTCATATTTTCCATAGCAACTGAGCAGCAGTAGGAATAGGAACTAAAATAAAATGACGCAGTTAGATAAAAGCTTCAATAACTGAATGCAACCACAGAGTTTTTTTATAAAAAAATCAATTTAAGTGGAACATTAAATAAAAACTTTGCAATAAATGTATAAAGAAAATCAATAACTGTGAATGTGTTGTGTATCAATATTTGTCTAGGCTTAAAAGAAGAAACAGGATTAAGAAATAAAAAGCCAACCTTAATTCTCACTGTTTTAAATAACTATTCAACCTGAAAATTAAAACCCAGTATCTGACTTTCCACTATGCTGAGCCCTCTCTTGGAGTAATGTTCTGAAATATATTGTGTGTATATGATGCTCTGTTCAAAGTGTACTGAAAATTTCTAAATCAAGCAATACATATTAAAACCTGCTCCAAAAGAAAAAAAAAAAAAAGGAACTGACAATACCTATACGTTTTATAGCTACACAGTGCTAGGAGGTACACACACGACAGAGTTCACAATTACTTTAATAAATACTAGTTTGAAGAAGAAATGAGCCAACATATATCTGAGGGACAATTATTGGAGCCTTTAAAATACATATTATTTACAGGAGGTTTGTAAGTAGCGCATTACTCTGCACAATAGGTAGCAGCAACTGAAGGCAAGGAGCACTTGGAACCATGTACCAAGAAAGAGCAGCCCTAGAAGCAGTCAACACTTTCTTAGCAATCTGTGGAAATCGATAGAGTCTAAAGCTCTACAAGAATCCCTAACACCAAATCTATATGCTAATTCACACCTGTAGTTATTTTCTCTATGGAGGAATAAATGTAAAGAATACAACAGCTATAGGTTTTACATTCATCAGGACCAGCTTTCAAAGATTTTTCCTCTGTGTAGTTCCTGGGAATAAGCATATACCTAATGGGAAAGCAATTAAGAGCCTCCTTTTCCCCCACCTTTTTGTTTCCAGCATCCTGGTTGCTAGAATGCTATGCAATGAGGACACTTATCCCCAGCATTTAAAGAAAGATATTCGTGAGGGGGGCTGAGCCACTTGTCAAGCTCCAGTAGAAACTCACTGAGTGGAGTTTGTTGCACCAGGATTATGCTACTAGGGAAGTAGTTTAACATTAATTTGGGTGTTAGTAACAGCAGAGGCATAGCAAGAAGCTCAGTATTTGCTAAGATGTTTTCAAATGATTTGCAGTCAATGCTGCCCTCCCCATACTTGCACAGTCAGACCTGGAGCGAAGACAGATGACATAGCACAGTGCCATCGCCTTGTATAGATGAACTTTATGTGGATATGGTACCCAAATCCATGCCAGAGGGACTACACTGGTTCAGATGCATTTCAGAAGACGGAGTTCAAACTTGCAGTTATGGCATGCCTGCTTTTTAGACAATTCAAAACTCTTCACTTAGGTGGTTAGCAAGGGAACAGAGAAGCATACAGACTCAACAGCAAATTTGAGTGCTTCCACATTCCCGTTTGGGAAGGCATGGCACATATGCCTCGATACTCTAGAAAGAGACTATTCAGAGTTTGAGATCATCATTAATATCTCAGTAAGATTACTTTTGCCTGAAAGAGAGGAAATTGGTTTCCTTAGCCTATGAAATCAGCTACCATGGTCAAAAAATGCTCTGCACAATTGTTCAAACAGAGAGCTGAACAGGAGCTAGTCATCCAGATTCTAATAGCCTTGAACCCAGAAGATAATTGTCCTGTCCCTGTCCAAATTTTACAGCTTGTCTCATCTCTCATAATATTTGAAAACAGTGACTAAATCGCTTTTGCTAAAGAGAACCTCTGTGCATAGGCTACAAGTAATCAATGTATTTGACTGGTTTCACAGTATGTAAAAATGATACAATATGCAAACTGTTAATGTATAATTACCTTCCTCCGTTGTTCTTGCTTCATTTCCTCTAATCTTCTGTTTTCATCCTCTCGAAGAGCTTGCTTATAAGTACGGCTCCTAGTCTATTGTTCATCAGAGAATATAAACATATTGGTGTGGGGAGAGTGGGGACCAAAACCCCAAACCTTATTCACGAATATTTATACAGGCAATTAACAAAAACGAAGCAGTTGAATGACTCCAGTTACTTAAAAAAAATATTAGTCTCAAGACTAGAATTTAAAGAAGTGGTCTAAAGCCTCTCAGTCATTTGATTTGGCTGGATGTCCATCTGCACTTCACAACAAGGCAGCCACAGCACATGTTATTCCATGTCCCAGTGGCAATCATAAAGACAGCTCGAGCAGTCAGAAAACACAATCAGGATATAGGATAGTGAGATGACATATTCTGTGAAGAAGGAAAAGTACTGAAAATATTACCAAGATAACAAAGCAGAAGGGAGATGCGATACAGAGGGGAACCCAGGATTATTTTCACAGGAGTATTGGAAAGGCATTTGTGGAGGTAGGGCAACAAAAGCTGAGAGATCAAGTCTGATGCATTATTTGTCAAGCACTCACAAGAACTGAAATCTGAACTACACACCATGAGTAAAGTATCCAACTGTGTAGGTTTTCACCGTGATAACTAGTGCTGGTCTTTCACAAGTTGTAGTTCTTAGCAAAGGCAAAGACCCAGCCTACCACTAGGATCTTGTAGGATCCTTAGGATCTTATACATAGGAACTTATACCGTAAAGTCTTTGAGCAGGGACACAGTGTAGCACACTAAATAATGAGCCAGTATAATTTAATACAAGAAGCATGCAGGTTTGACTTGAGTGAGAAATTTGTTGCAGGTCTACACAATGTTCTCGAAACTTGATATATGCATGCAGAATGACACCATTAAACCGTCAGGCACATAATTTGCTAAAAAGACTGAATGGAGAAAGCAATTATTAATAGCTCAATTTTGAGTTGGGAGGAGTTGTTACATGTGTCCGGGGAGGCTCATTCTGGGCCCAATATTATTCACTACTCTCCGTAATGGCTTGGAGAACGTGTGCAGTGTATGTTAATCAAGTTGGAAGATGATAAAAATCTGCACAGGATTGGTAACACTTTGAGAGACAGGATTAAAATTAATTATGAGATTGATCAAATAAGTGGGCCAAAAAAGTCACCAATGACAGAGTTACTCCACAGAAATCAAATTTATTCATGCACATCAAGTAATATTTGACACTGATATTTGAACTAGGTGTGCTAAATTAATATCACTATCAAAGAAACAATGTAAGGGAAAAAACTTGATCAACATTACATTGTCCCAAACTTTTTTTAGAACATGAATTATAAAGTTAAATAATCATATATAAATATGACCTCCTTTTAACTTGCATGTCAGGCACTTCCTAAGCTTACTGCACTTCACTATTTCAAATACAATGTTCCTGAATCTTTTAATTACTTCAGACAATGGACAGGTCCAAGAGAACATCACGATTAGAGTTCAAGTTTTCCCACTGGTTTAGCATTTTGGTACTACACCAAGTTTATTTGGATAACAGCTCATTGGTTGTGTGCTTACACATAGCACAGAGGCTGTGCCTACAGAGTGTACCTCATCCAAGTTGGTTGGGAAGACACTTTGCTAACTGCATTTCTGCATTATAAGCAAGTGATTAACTGAGTCACGAAGCTATAGAAATGCTGCCACACAAAAGACATGTTATAACATCAGCTGATGTTAATAAAACCCAGTACAGATAAACCATGTATTTTATCTGCTTGGATACTGGTAAAGCAAACTATAGTATGTAATTTGGGATAACTCACTAAGAAACCACTCAAAAACTGGAATGAGAAAGGCACACATAAGTAGGTGAAGTAGAAGGCAAAGGCTAAAAGTAGGATCTTTACACCTGAAAGAATTCAGTGTTCCTTCAGGCATCCACACACTTCAGCATAGATATGAAGACACTACACTAAAATGCTGAAATCCAAGTCAGTCCTGGGGACATGAGTTCACCTGTCTTCTCAGCTCAATGTTCACCATACGAAAGGCTGCAGAGCTGGGTCTTCCCTACCAAAGAACATGCTCCCCACTGTTCAGAGCATTGGATGCTTCAAGAGGGAGGCAGAAGTAGTTTCAAGACATCTTTTTTCCTTTCCCATAGTCCTTCATCTTCCTTGTCTGCCCAGGACCACAAAAGACAGTCTGAAAGTCACTCTCCTGCAACTGACCTTCTGTCCAGCAATGCTAGGCAGAAGTTGGCTCCTTCAAGCTATAAATCTGCCCACACATGCTAAAATTTCTTTATGGTTTTCAGAGAAACAAAATTACTTGAGGAATCAAAGGGGAAAGGAACCTACGTTCAGGATTACCTTCATTTTTCATGCAACCGAAAACCAGGAAGACATACTAGAGGCAAGACAGAGCTGTCACATATTCTGTTTGCAGCAATTTCTATAACAGGACGGTCTTGCACATTTCCAAGGCTTCAGAGGAAATACAGAGGTAAATCTTTCCCTCCCTCTACTCAACTGTTGGTGTCCAAGGTTGTATATAACAGAGGGTTGCCCAGACTAGATACTTCCAAGTTTCTGCTGACTAAGGACTATTGCTTGTAACAACAATTTTGGTCCACTTGGCTGTCTGTTCTCTGTCTTCCCCCAACTATAAACCTCCCTAAAGAAGAAATGCTTCTGTCTCAGGGTTAATATTCCTCACTCAAAGTTTTTACATCAGTAGGAAAGCTTTGTTTAGACACAAAAAGACTAATCAAATGTCAATTGAGGCAATTAGAATAATGAAACTTAAGCAATACTTTATCTATTTCCTAACTACATTGACACTCACCAGGCTAATTCAAACTGGGACAAAGTCCCCAAGCAGTCTATGAAATTACTTTCAGGATGCAGTGAGAAATAAGCATAAACTTCTCCTCTGACTGGATTTTCAATGCTGTAAAGCATCCGCTGACACGAACTAGTTGAGATTTCCTAAAAGCTTGCCACCAACTGATGGGTACAGAGCACATTTAAGATTCTGATTTGACCTTAGACTACAAATCTGGCTTTCATTTATCAGAGAGAGATCTGTATGTAAGTAATAAAGGCACTCCCCTGCTGTGTAGGATACTCTGCCAGTGTATAAGAGACAAAGTAGGCAATCTCATACACCCAGAAAGTCTCCTTGGTACTCACTGTGTTATGTCTAGGCAATTAAGCTCAATTAGAATATTCTAATATTACACTATTGACAGCACCTGGAAAGCTGACAGAAAATATTGCACATGCCATGTTTTTGCTTACCCATGCTGTAGATTCTGGGCCACGATTAGCAATATGACAGGAATCACTCTTTGGCAAACCCACGTCCAATCTGTTCAATAATTCAGTGGTTTTGCTATGAAGAAATCCAATCCAAATAGAACTGTTAGTGCTTCCATAAAAATAAATACAGCTTTTTATTCCACCCTTGGAATCTAGCCTAGACATTTTATCATGTGACTGCTGAAAAACATCACACGTGGAAAAAAGGTTATGGAGACAGATAGAATTATATGGGACAGAGGATACAGAACTTATATCGTAAAGAAGACATTTGCTGGGAGGAACTTTTAAGAAAACAGTTACTGTCATTTGCATATTTGGGGTCTAAATGTGATTGTGCTTTCTTTCCTCACTGTAAAGCTCCTCAAACACAGACTCACAGACCATTGGACCTCATCAACATGCAACTGCTTCACTGAATTGTTGCAAATCCTTCTACCAGATCCATAAAACTCAGATAAGTAATTTAAAAGCTCATTTTAAGGAATTTTCTTTCACAGTTATACAATGAACCCTTACAACAGAATACTTAATGAAGCAGCAAGACTTTGAAGCATTTTGTAGCATTGAAAAAAAAAATGCTTGTCTTCATTTGAAGCAGAATTGCACAACATTGTTATTTCTTATTCTGGCAAGGACAATTTTATTTTTCCAATCACTTCTCCTGTAAACCAGATTTTCAAAGTTGCATCACTTTGCTCACAGTTTCAACCAAGTACAGTTAAAAAAAGTCACAAGGAACAACATAAACAAATGGTAAGAATAAGAGTTTCAGTGCCGTGACCACAAACTTGTTTCCGAGCCTGCAGTCCCTGGCATATCTATCCAAGTCTTTGCTCACTCAAGAGGAACAGAGTTAGAGGAAAGGGGCAATTTTATTTCCGTATACAGCTTTGGAAAGCATGAAAGTAGTGAAGTGAGAGCAGAAAGAGTGCTTCAAGGGGCATTCAACACAAAGATTTACTCTGTTAACAGTGCAACCAGGTAGCTCTATGGGGGAGAGGATGACACCACCAAAGACAGCTACTTAACCTTGGCAAAAAAGCCTTGGCTGCCAAAGAGTGATGATGACTAACTGCTGAAACAGACTATCAAGTGTGTTTTTATATTTCACTCCATCATCTGAAATGGTGAGCAGACGCATTTTTCAAAAATGTCTTGCTGGTCAGGGGGTATATTGAGCAGAAGTGGGGAAGAAGAACAAGAACCCACAAGTTCTTCTGTGCTACTCTACACAATACAAAACCATGTTACCACTTCAGGTACACAGTACTTGCTTAAGCTGTAGCAAGCCATGCTTTTAGAGTCACAACATTCCCAGTTCACTCCCTTTCATCCATTACCTGGGCAGTTAACATGGACCTCAGCCAATGCACAATACAGAAAGAACCAAGTGAAACATAAGATTCCCTAACCTAACAAAGCACCTGTATATCAAGGTTAAATTGATTAATAACCTCTTCTTACCCAAGCATTAAGCACACATTTTTTTCCATGAAAGATGAGTGGCTGAGGGGTGACATTGCACACAATAATTTTTGGAACTTGAAGTTTTAAATTGTGTATTTTGTGTTTCTCTACCTATGCTAAAATTGCTAAACAACAATTTCTTTATACACCAGAAAAACTAAAAACTCCTACAGAAAGTCTGGAACATATTTGAGAAGGTTGCAGCTCTTTAAAGAAATATCTGGGAACTTGAGGATTTAGCTGAATGTCTTAATTCCTTAGGGATGTCAAAAGAATGACAGGGGGTATGTGTAAGTTCTCATTACTTGCATAAAAATGCAATGGAGGGTTAGGACATTGCCTTCTCCCTATCAGCACTCTGACACATGAAAAGCTGACTTAGTATTAGAACAGATGGTTACAAGAATGGAAGAAATGAAGTTTCTCAGCAAGACTGTGCACTGCCTTTGAATACAGAAAGCACCCCACTACACCAAATTAAGTAACACATTAATAGAGTGTCCCTATCACAAGAAAGGGATTCAGGTTTCCAAACCTGACTAAAGACAAACTCAGTCAAGTCAGTCATATATGTTAATTCTTTGTGTTTCATCTCTATGGAAAACCAGCAATGCATCCGGAGTTACCAGACTGTCAAAATATTGTCTGAATAGTATTTTTCATAACATTAAACCTAAAGTCATAACAATGCAGAGCATAGCATAAGCCATGCTGCAGGGAAAGGGGCAAGTTGGAGAGATGATAGTTCAATTAATGTTCCAGAGAGGAAAACATTAACTCCAGAAGGAAATCAGCATATCAAAGTGTCCATAGGAGCTCCACATTCAGACAGTTGGAGCAATACCTCACTCACTTGCTAAAACTTCAAGGGCTAATGAAAGATGCTAATAAAATGTGCTCCTCTAAACTAATTAATATTAAGGAAAGAAGAGCATGAGCTGAAAATCATTTGAATACAATAGCATCCTGATACCATTCAAAATTAGCTATGCAAAAGGAGATCCAAAATTTAGACAAACCAAGAAGATAGCACCCTCCTAACAGGCTGCTAACCTAAGCTCTTATTGCCACTAAGTATTAGTCTGAAGGGAAGAGAGCTGTTCAGGAGGAGCACTGGTTAAGCTGGTGCAATCTTACGAGGGTATTTTGTCTTTC